TAGTGGTAGGGGACGATCATTCTTGGAACTCGGATGACCTCCCCTGATGCAACTGGCGAACAGCCGGACCCGACGGGTTAACTGTACAACCACTTATGTACGTCGATGCTGTAGGAACGCGACGACGATACCGTCCTATGAAATAACGTGCTACAAGCCGCGGCATGACATACCATACCATGCCATAACCATACCATGTGCTCGGCCTGGACGAGAGAGCGCGGCGATCGTGCCTCCATCGGAAGGAGGAGCTTGGATCGCGTCATTCATTCACCTGCTCGACCACTTTGCTCTTCTCTATCCACTTTGCCGACCGCTAATCTATTGTTCCTTGGAAATTCTAACCTGACGTTGGCAATCTATCTGACGATCCACCGCGTACAAGTCTTTCTGCTTGGTCTTTCCCTTCTTGCCTTTAACTTTCTATCTCCAGCTCGCTTTTAGATTTTCTTCACTTCGTCGAGATCTGCTTTAAAAAAGAGCGAGTCCCTACGAGCGTAACAATATCTTAGGAAGTAGGAACTGGATTCTTTTGATTTTGAACTTTCGCAGCAGGCTGGTTCTGTCGTTCGATCTCCTATTCGATGTTTTGAATTAAACTTCGCCAAGCTCTGTGTTAAACTGTATCTTGCGAATAGAGAGAGCAGAGTGTATTGGATCGCTCGATATACCGTTTCCTCGCTCACTTACCATTCCATCGAATTCCCTTGATACGCGCGATCGTAGATTGACCGACTTGGAAGTTCCCTTGGAAGACCGTGGCAGGCAATACCCGTTTCGCGTGCACACGAACGTTACCCGCACGTACGCGATCGCGTAATTGGTTCATTCACTCAGCATTGGTTCGTTCACTCCAGTTTACTTTCGTCCCTCCGTTCACTCCCCTTCATTAGAACTTACTGTAACGATCTCTTATCGATCTCCTGCGCGAAAGAAAAAGCAAGAAACCGAGAAACAATCGGCGTGTTTTTTAGTGGAAACGACTCCGCTAAAGGAGAGAGAGAACCTCGGGTGAAGAAACTCGAGAGGCGGTAGAGTTCTCGAGTAGCTCGAGCAAATGGAAAAATCTAGAGAATGTCGAAGCGGTCGGCCAGTTTCGAGAACTCACGGAACGATCGGTGGCGCGAGTCGCCTTGTGCCTCCTCCACCTTCATCCTTATCGTTCGATCGATCGATCGATCGATCGATACGCGCTTCACCAGACACGCATATTTTTCCTGTCTCGTCCAACACTCGCGTTCAACTTCGTTCATCAGTCACACGTTGCTTTGTTTCTTTTTTCGCCTTTCCCTTTTCTTTTTTCATTGCAGGAACCTGGCGATCGGGATCGGCATTCAGAATTTTCCAGAGGGACTGGCGGTGTCTTTGCCACTTCAAGCGGCTGGGATCAGCACGTTGAAGAGTTTCTGGTACGGGCAACTCTCGGGGATGGTGGAACCTCTGGCCGGCGTCCTTGGCGCAGTCGGAGTGACGTTCGCTGAACCCGCGCTACCTTATGCGCTCGCCTTCGCAGCCGGTGCAATGATCTATGTCGTGATCGACGACATCGTTCCGGAAGCGCATCAGAGGTTCGTAGAAATTTCTTCGTAGAGTTCCATTTGCATAGAAATGGCGGCATACAGGAGTATTGGAAATCTTTTTTCTCTTTCTCTCTTTGAAAATTCATTCGAGCCTTGTTGTTATTGTCGTTGTTGTTCCACAACGAAGAAAAGGCCTAACGATCGTAGAGGCCTTGGAAGAGACCGAGACGCATGTTCAAGAACGATTACGGTACAATGACGCGTGACGGCAGTAGCGTAGTTAGCGCGCGTCGTCGTTGTTGGTAAAACGGACGTGGCGAATTTCTTTCCCAGGCTCGACCGTCTAGCTGAAGACGTATTGTCATTATAATTGGGGCTCTTTTTGTATTTCGCGTGCGATCTGATTGCCTCGACGACGACGACGACGACGACACACGCCGCTGTAGAGACACGGCGGAGCCAACGTGTTCGCTCCCTCGGGAACCCTTCCGGGGGTTCAAAAAATACAAAAGTGACAAACCCCCTTCGGTAAAACCGTTGCTTGACCTCCGACAGAGGCCGAAGAGGAGCCTCTTTCTCTCCGGTATGCACCGCGTGTGATCATTTCCAAAAGATCGGGGGGAGGGGAGAGAAAGAGAGAGAGAGAGAGA